TTAGTTTTGTAAAAATAGTGACATTGTATATATAAGGTGAATTTTATATATATATATATATATATATATATATATATATATATATATATATATATATATATATATATATANAGTTGAGAGCAAGAAAAGGGATATATATATATATATCCCTTTTCTTGCTCTCAACTAGGCCACTAGAAAAGCAATTCTTTATAACGTCATTGTTCCTAATCTGAGCACGAAGTTTTTTTCTTTTCTTTTGGTCCTCTTTATTCTCTATCTAAGGTCCTAGTCGTCGTACAGAAAGGAACAAAATGATCGTTATTGACCCAATATGGAACACGTCCTAGAGGCGCTCTAGTAATTCTCGTTTATATGTGTATATATCCTTTGGTTTTCCACAGAGATGCTGATTTGGTTGACATGATTATGACTAAATTAGACACACACAATATAAAAGAAGTTTTATATTATAAGATTACATAAAAGATAGTTACATGTATTAATTTATAATAAGTGAATTTAATAATTTGAATAATAAGACAATTAACTACTCGCTAGTTGCTGCAACATTACTGTTAAAGAGGTTTGATCATTTTATTCGTTGAAATTATGAGTGTGTTTGGTACGAAGAAAAATATATTTACTGAAAATATTTTTCAATTTTTTCATGTTTACTTAGCTTAAATATTTTGAAAAATATTTTTCTCATTCACTCATTTTTGATTTTTCATTATATTTTTCCTACCAAAAGGAGGAAAAATATTATTCAAAACTCCTTTTAACCTCTTCCACCCTATTCCCTACCCGCCAATCCCACCCGCACCCCACCCATCACCCCACCATCCACTCCCAACCCCCCCTCCCCCCGCTCCGCCCCCAACACTCCCACCCCAAACTCGTCCCCTCCCCTTCACCCCCACCGCATAGTGTTTGCCTACGTTATATATTTTACAAAAAAATATTTTTTACTCACTAACCAAACATTAAAAAAATATCTTTCTGAAAAAGTTTTCTGCTCTTGACCAGCCTACCCAAATGTGGGAAAATAAGTGATAAAACTACTTATTTTTTTCTAGAAAATATTATCCTCAATACCAAACACACCAGATGAAGATAACGATTTTCATGTTCTTATTGTATAGGGGTGTACATGGACCGGGTTGGTTTGGTTTTTATCAAAACCAAACCAAACCAGCTATTTTGGTTTGGATTGGTTCGGTTTTGTCGGGTTTTTGGGGGGTTTTTTGCTACATGAGTATTATTTCAATCTTACTTTATTAAAGTTAACGATAAAGTTTTGATAAGTGAATATATGTTCAGTAAAAATAAAAACAAATTGACAAACATATGATATATTAAAATATTCTTATGGGAGAAGTTTCAGTAACACATGATAATTATTTTTTAGTCTTCTAACAACAATTTTTCGTTGATGTACGCTTAAAAGGTTAATCAAATTTAATAATTAAACATAAAATCAATGTAATACCTAAAAATATTATTTCAAATTCGAAAAAGATATAAGAAATCTTGACATATGAATATGGAAGAACAAAGAGATGATTGATGCATTTCAATAATACTTGATAAGAAAGTGATACAACCCATTATTTAAAGTAAATAAAAGTAAATTCACTTCATAGTTATATTAAATATTCCATTTCATGAGAAAATCCCAAATATTTTTAGACATTATTTTTTACAAAAAATTCTATATAAAGTCTTAAAGTATATATAAAAATTATATATTTATTTGTCGGTTTGGTTCGGTTTTTTTAACTCAATACCAAACCAAATCAAACCAAAACCTAATCAGATTTTTTAATCGGGTAAGTTTGACTTTTCGGTTTGGTGTGGTTTTCCGGTTCGGTTTGAACACCCCTATTAACACATGAAAGTACAAGGGGGGGGGGGGGTGAATTGTGGTCTGTTAAAAACTTAGTCGACTAACGATGATTTTAGTTGACTAGATCGAGAGCAGAAGTAAAATAACAGTAAACAGAAGGAGAATGACACACAATAATTTTGTACTGGTTGGGTACCGGTGTGGTACTTACAGCCAGTTTTTCTTGGGTCACAAGGGTTCCTTTTAGATCTTGAAAGTATTATAGCAGGGATGATTTTGATTCGTTCACCACCAACGAAGTTCAGCAACAGTGAATCTCTAATAATGACACAACTCTCTTTTGTGTTCTAACTCGTCCTATCTTTTGAGACACTGATAAACTTTGGATTACAGTGTTTAGGCTAAGAAGTAGAGAGACTTAGAAAACAATGTGTGTAGTTGCGCAAGTCTTCCAATTGAACTAGGCAGCCTTCTTATAGGATAGCAAATGAGCCGTTGAGTCTTGACCAGAAATAGAGGCACGAGATCTTTAAAAGGATTTGACCCAAGGGGTGCCTCTTCGAATCTTGCTCTTTGGGAAAGACCGGATTCGATCGTGACTTTCCTTGTCACAACTTTTATTTACGAGACAATCAATCCTTTGACTGAGCTTTAATTAAGGAAGTCGAATATGGAAATAACTTCTTGATTGGTAATTTGATTGCCTTGATTGAGGCCGAGTAGATCACCAGGCTTTTGATTCCTTCTATAGGCCCATTGATTTAGTAATCACACCTCTAGATAGCTTGTCATTGCTTTTTTCTTTCTTTTGATGATTCATGCGAAATAAAATAATTGAACATTGTCATCATTGAGCCCTTGAAATTTAACTTAACAATCTCCCGCTTTTTGATGATGACAATCAAGAGAGAATAAACATTAATAAAGACTATAAGCATTAATTATGAAACTTCCTTTTTTCTGACTTGATGCTTGTTTCCCTGAGAGGTTGCTCCCCCTGACTTGATGCTTGCTCCCCCTGAGAAGTTGAATTGCTGCTCAAACCTATTTACTTCTCTTACATGTTCTCCCCCTTTGATATCAATCAAAAAGGGAAAGAAAACAACACAAGCAAGAGCAATATAGGAAGTAATGTACATAATAACTAGCTAGATAGTGCAGCAAACGTAATGCCTTCAGCAGAGGCATAGATTATACAAACCCAAGCAAAAGAAAGTTTATAAAAACCAAGCAGGCAAAATTTTTTTTATCTTTGAACCCATCACACGAATACACATTAGTTTCTTCCCAGGAAGTACTTGAGGGTGTTGATCACTTTGGTGCAGAAGGAGTCATAGGAATTCTCGACATCTTTGACTAGCTTATCCATTTTTTCAGTCATTGAATTGAAAGCCCTGGTTCCTTGTCTCCGCGTAGCTCCTATATCCATTCTGAGCTTAGCTACATATGTACCTGTCTCCTTAGTGACTTCCCTGATTTTCTCCACCTTTTCCTTCATCTCAACCACAAGTTGTTTACCTCATCCAAATATTTCTACATTGCCTGAAGATTTTGAGAGGCAGTCGATTGAGATGCTGGTTGTTCAGTTTGAACTTCAACTAGCACTGGAATATTGTCAACTTTGGCTCATTTAACCCATCCATCATCACCCAAGGTGTACCCCATCATTGAAAAAACTGTTTTATCATAAGTGTTGGTAATGTGCTTGGGTGTAAAAGATGCCAAATCTACCTTCATAACTTCGAGGATGTGTGAGATGAGCAGACCACATGGTAAAAAAACAGCAGAGGAAGATATGTACCTAATACTTTCAAGCATGTATTGGAGAATCCACACAAACCAATCCAGTCTTTTATTATTAACAAGACAATAATGGACAAAGACATCCCTAGTGGACAAAGAAATAAGGGACCCAGTTCTGGGGAGTAAAGTGGTAGCAATCATATGGGTCAAGACACAATGTTCAAACTTTAGGTTCTTGGGGCCAATATTAGGGGGGCTATCAGATAAAAAGACTTTGGCTTCTTCAAAGGATACTTCAAAATCTTTTGGCCAACAATTTTGTAAAAAAACATCAAACCCACTAAACTTAGCAGAGAAATTCTTTTCAAATTGATAAGAGTCTAGAACAATTCTAGTGCCTAACACCATAGATTCCAGGTCATCTTTGTCATTCACAAAAAGGTTTGCATAAAACATCCTCACAGGTTCCTCATAGACAGAGTTACCAACAGTGTAGAATAGAGAAGAAAGATGTTGAAAATCAAATATAGAGATCACATCACATTGCAAATTTTTCATAAGAGAAAGACTTCCAGAGCGTCCATAAGCCATAGATTTTGACTTGTAGGACTCAAACCTTGCCTTTTCACGTGGGCCATAAAAGATCAACTTGTCCTCAGGTCAGAATTCAGTGTTCTCTACCTTTCCTTTCTTGCATGAAGCCGTTTTTTGGGGCCATTTCCTGCCTTTTTCTGACTGATGGGTGGATTTTCGGAGGATTCACTATTCTCATTGACAGTTTTGAGAAAATCTGAGTCAATAGACGACTCCAAATCTACAGGTTCTTCAGGGTTGAGAGGTTTTTGAAACCTTCGGCTTTGTCTGGTTGCAGTGGAGGAAGAGGGATTTCTTTTGGCCATGGTGAGAGGGTTTGTTTGATAAGAATGAAGAGAGTAACGGAGATGAGAGGGGTTATATCGAAGCTATTGGAGTAATGAAGGTTCGCCTTGGTTAAAAGAAAAGGTGGATTCAGAAGGAAGTGATGCTTCTGAAGTGACTGATCGGCGACACTGATGAAGAAGCAATTATTATACCTATACAAAAATTAATTAAACCACACATACTTAAGGAAATAAAATATTTTAAAACACGGCACAAAAGATTTGATTTACAAAGTTGGCAAAATACCAATCTTTTTCCTTAGAAAACAAAATCTTTCTTCCAAAAGTGGTTTTTGTAAAATATCGACAAGTTGAGAATCAGTACTAATAAATTCTAATACAATATCACCTTCAGCGACATAATCACAGATAAAATGATGCTTAATTTTTATATGCTTTGCTCTAAAATGATGCACAAAATTCTTTGATAAGCAAATGACACTGGTATTATCACAAAATATAGGTGTAGAAGTAAGAGATAAATCATAGTCGAGAAGTTGATGCATAATCTATAGAACTTGTGTACAACAGCTTCCGACTGCTAAATATTCTGCTTCAGTCGTTGATAGGGCAACACAATTTTTTTTCTTGCTATGACGAGATACAAATGCATTTCCCAAGAGTTGACACGTGCCACTAGTGCTTTTTCTATCAGTCTTGTCACCTGCAAAATCTACATTTGAAAAACCTTTTAATGCAAAATTGATAGAATGATCATACCATAATCCTAGATCAGAAGTACCAATTAGATATCTTATAATTCGTTTAACAACAGTGATGGGATTCGGAGCCGACTGAAATCTTGCACACTTGCATACACTGAACATAATATCTGGTTGACTAGTAGTGAGATACAATAGGGATCCAATCATCTCTCTATACATGGTTTCATCAACCTTTTTTCCATTGTTGTCTTCATCGAGTATTGTTGTTGGACTCATTGAGTGCCGATTGACTTTACATTTTCCATTCCAAACTTTTTGATAAGCTCCTTAGTGTACTTGGTTTGGCTAATGAAAATTCCTTTAGGAGACTGTTTGATTTGAAGTCCGAGAAAGAATGTCAGTTCTCCCATCATGCTCATTTCAAATTCTCCTTTCATGGAATGAGCAAAATCTTCACATAAAGAAGAGTTAGGACTACCAAAAAAAATGTCATCAACATAAATTTGAGTAATAAGATTACCTGAACTAGACTGCTTAATAAAAAGAGGTTTATCGATATTACCTCTTTTGAACCCTTGATTTAAGAGAAAAGAACTTAACCTTTCATACCAAGCACGCGGAGCTTGTTTGAGACCATAAAAAGCTTTATTCAGCTTGTATACATGATTAGGAAAGGTGACGTTTACAAATCCTGGTGTTTGCTTTACATATACTTCTTCAAAGATGTAGCCATTTAGGAATGCACTTTTAACGTCCATTTGAAACAGCTTGAAACCTTTGTGAGCAGCAAAAGCAAGTAATATTCTAATGGATTCAAGTCTTGATACAGGAGCAAAGGTTTTGTCATAGTCGATTCCTTCTTGCTGGGAGTATCCTTGAGTAACTAATCTTGCTTTATTTCGAACCACTTGACCAGATTCATTCAATTTGTTTCAGAATACCCATTTAGTTCCAATGATTGAGGAGTTTGAAGGTCTTGGAACCAATTCCCATACTTTGTTTCTTTCAAATTGATCTGGTTCCTCTTTCATAGCACTTATCCAATGTGCATCTTTCAGAGCTTCATCCACTTTCTTTGGCTCAAGTTGAGAAATAAGAGCCACATGAGATTTGTTCTTCTGAGATCTTCTTGTAGTGATTCCTTCCTGTGGATCTCCTATAATAAATTTGTGAGGATAGCCCGGTTCGCTCTTCCATTCATTTGGTGTGTTTGAAGGAGGATCTCTTTCTACAGACTCTTCAGCTGGTTGATTTTGCCGATCAGCTGACTCACTTTGATGATCCTTTCCTGCAATGACAGATTTAGGGACAAAAGGAATTTCCTCATCTTCAGGAAGTTTTTCACTCCTTGGACGAGGGTTAGTATCAACAAAAACAACATGAATTGATTCTTTAATGCAGAGTGTTCTTTTATTATAAACTCTATATGCTCTACTTGAAGGAGAGTAACCAAGAAATATACCTTCATCACTTTTAGGATCGAACTTACCCAAATTATCCTTTCTATTATTGTGAATGAAACATTTGCATCCAAAGGGGTGAAAATAGCTAATATTAGGTTTCTTACCATTCCACAGTTCATACGGTGTCTTTTTGAGAATTGGTCGAATCAGACACCTATTGATAATATGACATGTTGTGCTTACCGCTTCAGCCCAGAAATGATGAGGTAGGGAATTTTCTACAATCCTGGTTCTTGCCATGTCCTGTAGGGTTCTATTTTTACGCTCTACCACACCATTTTGTTGCGGAGATCTTGGTGAAGAAAAATTGTAAGAGATTCCTTGACATTGCAAAAGTTTTCAAAATCTCTGCTTTCAAATTCTCCTCGATGATCACTTCTGATACAAGAGATGTAGTAACCCTTTTCTCGTTGAACCTTCTTACAGGAAACTTCAAAATTCTCATCATCTTTATGACTCAAAAACATAACCCAGGTAAATCTAGAAAAATCATCCACAATAACAAAAGCATATGCAATAGTTGAAGACGTTTTGAGGTGGGAAAAAATAACAACAACAACAACAACAACAACAACAACAACGACCCAGTAAAATCCCACTAGTGGGGTCTGGGGAGGGTAGTGTGTACGAAGACCTTACCCCTATCCCGAAGAAGTGGGGAGGCTATTTTCAAAAGACCCTCGGCTCAAAATTTTGAGGTGGAAACAAAATTTTTGATTTGAAAGATGAGCGAATTTGTTTTCCTAGTTGACATGTGTCACAAATATAATCCTTTGAAAAATCTAGTTTTGGAAGTCCAATGACGAGATCATGTTTAGAAAGCTTTTGAATAGTATGCATGCTGGCATGACCAAGTTTTCTATGCCAGACCCAGGGATCATCAACTATGGAAGCAAGACAAATTTGATCCCCAAGATTATCTAGGTTGCTAATAGTATAAACATTTCTATCTCTATTACCTGAAAGAACGACTTTACCTATTTCATCTTCTATGAGCCAACCATGTTTCTTAAAACGAACCTCATAGTCATTGTCACATAGTTGACTAATGCTGAGAAGATTGTAGCCGAGTTCATCAACCATGCAGACTTCATCTACATCACATGTTGGGCTTAGAGGAACTTTTCCAACCCAGTTACATTTCCTTTGGATTTGTCTCCAAATGTGACTGTTCCTCCATCTAGTTTAGTGACTGTCTTGAACAATTGTTTGCCACCAGTCATATGTCTGGAACACGCGCTGTCGAGATACCATTTTCCTTTTCGATTCTTCTTGCGGTGTTCCTCACTCGTTCCCTCGTCTGCCATGAGACCAAGTTGATCTGAGTCTTCTTCTTCATTTATTCCTCTATTTCCTGAGAATCCACGCTCTCCTGATTCTTCATTGCTATCATCTTCTATGGCCATGAAGTACATATTTGCAATTTATCATGATTAGATTCTACTTCATCACTCCAGGCTCCAAAAGACTTCTTCCTTTGAAGATTCCTGCTCAGCTTCTTCTTTAGTTCTGGGCAGTCATCTTGAATGTGTCCATGTTTACCATATTCGTAGCATCTTCCATCATTTTTATTATTTATCCTTCCCTTTCTAAAGTTTGGTCTACCTCTTCTGCTATTTCTATTTTTCCTCATCATGCTAGTTACAACTTGAGAAAGCATGGCTATGTTTTCATCCTATTCTCATCCGTCATTTTCTTCTTCATCCTCTGGTTCAATCACAGTTGCTTTGAAGGCGACTGCTTTCTTCTTTTCTTGTTGAATCTGTCTATCCAAGTGAGTTTTCTCAAAAGCTATTAGATCACCTCTGAGTTCATCATAGGACATTTTATCAAGATCCTGACATTCGAGTGCGATGACCTTTGGCTGCCAAATCGTAGGTAGACTTCTAAGAATTTTTCTGACTTGTTCTCAGCTTTTTATTGTTCTACCAAAGGATTTTAGATCTCCAAGAATTTCGCTGAACCTGGAGAACATTTCTTCAGCCGATTCTCCATCCTTCATTTGAAATAGCTCATACTCACGAACCAATAGATTTATACTTGTTTCTTTTACCTTGTTTGTCCCTTCATATGTAACTTCCAATTTATCCCACATCTCCTTAGAAGTTTCACAACTTGAGATCTTTTCATATTCTTCACCATTGATAGCACTGTACAACAGATTTTTTGCTTTGGCATTTACAGTTATAACATTGGCTTGCTCATCAGTGTAGTCATTTAAGTCAAGTGGATTAGTGGATACTATTACTTGACCATTTTCGTCTTTCCTTGGGGGTACTGGAAGAATTCCCTTTTTGATCACTCGCCAGACTTTGATGTCATAAGATATGGTGTATTTTTCCGTACGCACCTTCCAATGAGAGAAGTATTGTCAATTAAAGTATGGTGGTTGAACTTGTGAAGTCCCCTCTTGAAATAGTGCACCAATGGCTGTGTTTGATCCCATGATCTTTTCCTCACTAGCTGGTAAGCAAAGTTTGTGAACCTTGCTCTAATACCAATTGAAAGTGCAAGAGGAGGGGGGGTTGAATTGTGGTCTGTTAAAAACTTAGTCCACTAACGATATTTTAGTTGACTAGATGGAGAGCAGAAGTAAAATAACAGTAAACAGAAAGAGAATGACACAAAATAATTTTATACTGGTTCGGTACCAGTGTGGTACTTACATCCACTTTCCCTTGGGTCACAAGGGGTTCCTTTTAGATCTTGAAAGTATTACAACAAGGATGGTTTTGATTCGGTCACCGCTAACGAAGTTCAGCAACAGTGAATCTTTAATAATGACACAACTCTCTTTTGTGTTCTAACTCTTCCTATATTTTGAGACACTTATAAACTTTAAGTTACAGTGTTTAGTCAAGAAGTAGAGAGACTTAGAAAATAATGTGTGTAGTTGCGCAAGTCTTCCAGCTGAACTAGGAAACCTTCTTATAGGAGAGCAAAAGAGCCGTTGAGTCTTGACCAAAAATAGAGGCACGAGATCTTAAAGGATTTGATGCAAGGGGTGCCTCTTCGAATCCTGCTCTTTGGGAAAGACAGGATTTGATCGTGACTTTCCTTGTCACAACTCATTTACGAGACAATCAATCCTTTGACTAAGATTTAAGTAAGGAAGCTGAATATGGCAATAACTTCTTGATTGGTAATCTGATTGCCTTGATTGAGGCCGGGTAGATTAGCAGGCTTTCGATTCCTTCTATAGGTCCATTGATTTAGCAATCACACCATTAGATAGCTTCTCATTGCTTTTCTTTCCTTTTGATGATTCCTGTAAAATAGAATAATTGAACATTGTCATCATTGAAACCTTGAAATTTAACTTAACAACACACACAAAAAACCTCCAAAAAGGTATTATTGAAAACAAGGAGTTTTCATTTGAAAGCAACAAAATAATGATTTTTCATAAGGATTTTTATTTGGAGTAGCCATATAGCATTGGAATGTTATGCTAGGTCACCTTTATTTAGAACCATATTTTATTTAAAAGGAAAATACCCTTTGAATATCAATTGAGAGTCACAACTTGCCTCGAAAGTGTTCTTTCCTAGTTCTACTGAAAAGATGATTGTTCTCTCCACCTGATGATACCAAGGTCTAAGTTTTCTTAAGTAATTCAATTTACGACTGAAATACTTTCATAATAGATGTTCTTAGTCCAATTACACGTAATTATACTCAAATCTAATTCTCATATGACTTTTCAAATGAGCTCCTACGCTTAAAAGTGTAATCTAGCACCATAGGCATCATATTGGTATACTATATGATTGCCCAGAGGCCGGGAAAGCTGAGGCTGTTAATTAGGGGATA